GAAACATCAGATCAACCATATTATGCAAACAGCCAGCAGGGTAAGCGCTTTATTTATATCCACAGTAATCGCACAGCTATGATACATGCGTGTGACCATTTTCACGAGCACATGGTCTGATGAATCAAATCAGTCTGTTTCAAGTTTTAAAAGATCCCTTTTCAAACATTGTCTTTCTCTCTTTGTGATGACAGTTCAAGAGGCCAGACAAAATCAAATCATTTATGGTAGGTTTGTGTATTTCTTGTTTTACACAAATAGTAGGTTTCAATACTAATATTTGATGTACAGAACAAATAATTGTATAATAATTCTGTAAGTAGATGTTAAGACGTTGTAATTATTCCCTTTCTGCTGCAGAGAATGATCATGAGTTCAGAAAAAATATCTCCAAAGGGAAAAGTGAGTATATATATATTATAAATAAATAAATCCTGAATTACTTTCTTTATTATTATTATTATTATTATTATTATAGCACTACTTGTTTATTTATTTAATTAATTTTTTTGCAGGACCGTTTTCGTCAGTTTACATCAATAGGCCTGAAAATAAGGTTGCAATTTATGTGAACAGTGCAGCACAGGCAGATGAGACGAATGCAAACAGCACCGACAATGATTATGAAAATGTGGAGTAGTCTGCTAAGAAGACATGACTGCAGTTCTTCATTCTTCATTCTGTTTTTCATTCATTGTCTTTTGTGCACACTACTAACTTAAGTGGATTAATGATATAAATAAATACATGTAGGCCTGAAAATAAGGTTGCAATTTATGTGAACAGTGCAGCACAGGCAGATGAGACGAATGCAAACAGCACCGACAATGATTATGAAAATGTGGAGTAGTCTGCTAAGAAGACATGACTGCAGTTTTTCATTCTTCATTCTGTTTTTCATTCATTGTCTTTTGTGCACACTACTAACTTAAGTGGATTAATGATATAAATAAATACATTTTAGCATTTCAGCCTTATTCAGGTAATACACATGAACAGAAAATAATCTGTTATAATGGAATGATCTGTGACCATTTAGGATGATAAAACATTTTAGGATGACAAAGTCTTTGTAGTAGTATATTTGACTAACATTGTATTTGTCAAAAATGGCAGTGTGTTCTTCACAACAGTGAATAAAATCTTGCACTTTTGAAATGGTCCTCTTTGCAAAGTCTGTTTAGTTAAATAGGCCTATAGCCCTAGTGATGGGTGTCCACAGTTCTGAATAGTTATCACAATTTGTTTACTGTTAAGTTTGATCATTAAAAATTGTGATTCTAACACGTAGGCCTAATGTTATTTTACAGATACGTCATACTTGTTGATACTTCATAAAAAAAAAATTCTCCAATAGCAATATGAGGTTAATGTAAATACCTCCTTATTTTATTGTGGCTGTTGTTCTCACTTTTAATTTTTTTTAACTTTTAAACCTTAAACGTAAAACGTAGCTACGTTTGGCCTGTTTGGGCTCCGTATTTCCACTCGCAGACATAGCATACTGTTTGTTTTCATGGATTTCATAGTTACTCACTGTACGAGATCAATGAGGTCTTGGTTAGACCAGACGCGTTTGTACAATGTAACAAGGGGGTTAGTGATGATATATGACCACGATATGATCAATTTTATTTCATGATATATAAATTATATATATATATATATATATATAAAGCACGTGCACAGAAAGCATCTGTCACACGGCATGTGAGTACTAAACTAATTTCTCTTTCATGTCTTATTGCACTTAAACTGTCAAATACACAGAAGTTTATGTTTAAAACACACACAAGTTACAAAAACACAGTCAGTTATGTCTGTGAAGGTAAACAGCTGGGATACTCCACATGATGGAGATTTTGACAGCTGTGTGTGTATTTAACAATAAAGGCACAGGCAGAACTGATCGCAAAACTGGGATCGCGTGAGCACGCGGCCGAGTGACCGCTTCTGTGTGTCATTCAGCGTGATTCTGCCTGTCTATCCCACCTTCACTTACTGCAATCGATAACAAATTGTGATTGGATGGTAATTTTGTCCTACGACAAGCTTAGCTTAGTTACCTTTGATTAGGCTGTTCTCGCGTGACAGAACACTTCTACTACTTGCTCTGATCCTCCAGTCCTAAAGAAATTTGGAAATACGGGACAAAACATGATTTTTTTTTCAAAATAAGTCAGGACACTAAAAATAGAGCTGAAATATGGAACTGTCCCGGGAAAAACGGGATGTCTGGTCACTCTACCCACAGATAATTTATTATATCATTTTGAAAATGCCCATTTTGAGTGGAAGCAGAAACGCACTGTTTTCGTGCATGTATCTTTAAATACAAATGAGCTGCTGCTCCCCGCCCCTTTACATCTTGTACCTCAAATACTCTGCCAAAAAACATCTATTTGGTTTTGATAATCATGTATATCACGCTGAAATCATGCGTTTTAAATCTATATCAGTGTAAACTTCAGTTTAGTGTTAGCACGCGCACAGAAAACGGCTGTCACACGGCATGTGAATACTAAACTAAGTTCTCTTTCATGTCTTATTGCACTTAAACTGTCAAATACACAGAAGTTACAAAAACACAGTCGGTTATGTCTGTGAAGGTAAACAGCTGGGAAAGAAATCGCATGTTTATGTAAGATCTGTGTATATTGAGTGACAGCAGTGCCGTGAGTGGAAAAGTGCAAATTATGGGGCGGTGATATTATATTAAGATGCCCTTCCTGCATCACTAGGGGAGCGAAATCTGAGCGGCTCGTTTTTTCACATGCTTGCCGAGAAAGGCGTACCAAAACAAAGTTACTGGGTTGTCCTTTTTCAAGTTTTTTGGGTTGGTAGATGCACCGGGGACCCGATTATAGCACTTAAATGTGGAAAAAAATAGGATTTTCATGATATGTCCCCTTTAAAATGTTGTTTATTCCTGTGATTACAAAGCTGAATGTTTAACAGTCATTACTCCAGTCTTCAGTGTTACATGATCCTTCAGAAATCATTCAAATATGCTGATTTGATGCTCAAAAAACATATTATTATCAATGTTGAAAAATATTTTTGTGGAAACCGTGATACTTTTTTTCAGGATTCTTTGATGTAGTTCAACAGCATTTATTTGAAATAGAAATATTTTGTAACATTTTAAGTCTTTGTCACTTTTAATCAATTTAATGAGTCCTTGCTGAATAAAAGTATAATTTTTTTTTAACTGACCCCAAACTTTAGAACGGTAGTGTATATTGGTGTTACAGATACAGGAAACATACATGATGTTATCTTGTTAAACAATCTAACTTCATTATTATACTTGTATCATATGCTGTGATCTATATTAATATAACACTGAATCCTGTTGTTGTTTGGATGGTTATTGTAATAGTGTCCAGTGTTTGAAATGTTTTGTTTCCATTTTCTCTGAAAGTGACAAAGCTAAACTACAAGTGTATGGAAAGTCATACAGTGTTCCAAGGAAGCAAGCAACATACGGCGACGAAGGACTGATGTACTCTTTCTCTGGAGTCCATCTCCTGGCTAAACCATGAACTCCCACTTTGGAACATATTCAAGATGCTGTTACGAAGGCAACAGGCCATACGTTCAACTTTGTTTTGATAAACAGGTAATTTAACTGTCTACTATTGACATGGACACGACTGTCCTCCCCATGAACCTGAAGAGGTGCATTGCATAACATAGAAAAAATGTTCTTTCAAAGTGAGGAAAGTATGTTTTTGGTTTGTGTTTGCACCATCAGATATAATGATGGTCGTGATCACATTGGAGAGCATCGGGATGATGAACGGGAACTCGATCCTGCCTGCCCTATTGCCTCTGTATCTCTAGGGCTGCCCGTGACTTCATTTTCCGACATAAGGATGCGCGAACTGGTTCTAGCAAACGTCAGATTGAGCCTGTGAAGCTGGAGCTGGCTCACGGAAGTCTACTGCTCATGAACTATCCCACCACCACATACTGGTATCACAGTCTTCCAGTCAGAAGAAAGGTCAAAATGCCACGCATCAACCTCACTTTCAGACGCATAGTGAAAAACAAACAGAAAACTGGCATTAAAATAGAGTGATTGTTTTTTTTAGCATCTTGACAGGTATTACTGTGGGCCATGTCAGTTGTTCTTCCACAACATATGTGAAAGTTGTGTAAGCTAGTGAGCATTTCTCATATCATCACATCCAATCTGCAATGAATCCTTGTTGGGTTTTAGCACATTTGGACATCTCTTGCACACTACATTCAGTTCATTTTAACGGTTTCACTTTATTTTCACATGTTATGATTTATTAGTCATTAAACTCGTGTGCAGTAAAATTTGTACTACAATCTCAGGAAATCAAGCTTCAAGCTCATCTTTGCTATTCATAGCAAATTCAGGTTTGATTTTTAACAAAATGCACTTTCAAGAGTATTCAAAGGAAATATTATTTTATTTAGAAAACCAATAAACTACATGTGGAATAAATAGGTTAGACACATCCATAGCTCTGTACAAGACATTTCTATTATAGACTGGGAAAGAGAAAAAAAAAAGAATACATTTTGCTAAAAGTTTTAAAGATTGAACTACAGAAGGCAATAGTTTGGTGAAATACTGTGGCAAAACCATAAGGGTAGCAAAAACGTAATCGTATAAATATATACATTTTATTTTTCAAGCATACATAAAGTAATTTTGAGAAAGTCATACTTAGTGTTCATATTCCAGCACTGCTGGATTGAGTATGAGGTATTCACACAGCTGTCTACCCATAACCTGCCTGTGTTACAATCTAATCAGTCACGTTTTTCCTTGGACGACGACACATGTGGCCAGTACAGTTGCTGCTGGAAGGAACAGTAATTTGTGAATTTGACGTATCAAAATTGTTATTATTGTATCCCTTGTGTACATTAGAAGGTTGTAGTGCTGTTGAAATGGCAACCAGCATTTCAAAGCTTGGTTTGAACACCACAGTTTGAGCATTAGTGAAAATGAACAGTTGTGGCTTACTTGACTTTAAAAAGAGAGAGAGAACCAAAATGTGGGCACTTGGAGAAGTGTGTAGACAGGCAAGGCAAGACAAGACAAAAAAAACATTCCTTTCCTCAGTAACACAAAAGTACTCAACCAAGCAGGGCCTATGCTACAAGCTATGAGCTTCACAGGAGAAGTTGAATAACTTGTGACTAGTACCATTTGCATTTTTTTTATATTTAGCTACTTATGGTGAAATCTCACTAAACTACAGCAGCAGAAATCAGTTACTTTCAGCGTGATTTTAAAAACAGTGTGTTGACCTTCCTGAGTGAACAAGAAAAGGTGAGTGATAAATGATTATTTTTTAAAATTGACAATACTTAGCAAAAGAAATAGCATGTAGTGATTGTAGGGCAGCATGAACTGTTTTAGGATCAGTACACACAATTTCTCACAGCTTGATTCATTACCTTTACTCATACAATGATGATCCAATCATGCCCTCTACACTAAAAATGACCGCAACAGACAGGTTTTCTGGATTAAAGTGAATACATGAGAGTGTAGAACTGAAGAAAACCTCCTATGTTGTGATGTGTTTCAGGATAAGAGACAGGGATTGCAAATGCCTGACAACTGGGAGAAGATAGTTAACTTTCTTCAGAGGAAGAATCGGTTTTCCCTTTTTTGCTTGGGGGAGCACCATCATCCAATTCCTTCAAAAGAAACCATTAAGTTAGTTATAAAGCAGAAAACACAGCAAGTATATATAAACTTTTTTTTTAGCTGTAAGCGTGTACCTGGGCTGAGTTGGAAGAGTCTAAAAAGTGCTCTGAATCCCCGTGTGACTTGCTGTCCCTTTTGGCTGTTATAGAACCTGATGAGCAGTGGTTTTGTTCTGAAAATAAAGAAGTGCTATTAGAGAGCCCCAAAAATCCCAACAGCTCAGACAGATAGAGAAAAGAGGATAATGATCTCGTAGAGGCCTCACTGCAGTGACTAACCACTCTTATGATCCTGAATAGATGAAGGCTGCTTGGAAGGATATTGGTCACTTTTCAAGTCATTGCTGTCATTCTGAGAAGCTGCCATGGGTTCAGGTGCAGGACTAGTGTTGTTGCTGGTCTCTTGCTTCAGTGGGGAGGAGTCTGCAATGGAGCTCTGGTTACTGTTATCGTCTGTATGTGGAAAACAGAAACATGATTAAAAGGGTGTTGCAAATGATTTGAGAAATGTTTGGAAAAACTTTCAAGCAGTATATGACTGTTAATAGATGGTTACAAGATAGAATAGTAATTGACATCAATTCATGTGTAGTAAAACGGTTTCATCAACCCCCTCTATTGGTTAAGAAGGATAAAAGTCCATTGAAAGCCATGAAGAAGAAGAAGGAGGAGGAGGAGGAGGAGGAGAAGAAGAAGAAATGAATAATTGACCTGAAAGTACAGGTCATTTCTGGCATACTTAAATATTGCAGAAATCCCTATTAATCAAATGTTTATGAATCAAAGATCACAATTTGGTTTAAAAACCACTATAAATGACAATAATCGCCAAATAACATAGCCTAAAAAACACTGTCCGAGGATTATTTTGAGATGTGATTGGAGTCTGATAACTGTCAGGTCTACAGCATTACCATGCATATCCATCATTCCAGGAGAAGAGCTGTTCTCAGGGGTCGTGACCTCAGAGCCATATTTGACATCTTTGCATTTCTTCTTGTTTTTGTTCTTCTGTGTGACAGAAATAAGTGCATTGTCAAATGCAATTTTTTTTATTTTTTTTTGCAATTAAACCATGAGGAGAATAATGAACCAATTAACCAAATCTAAAAGATATAGTGTAGAATAATATTGGCTTTGTGTGTGTGATGCTACAACTAAAACGTTTAATGATCTGGGCCACCAACACACACACAAAAAGATTTGGCACCAGTAACCTCAATGCCATATATATATATAAAAATCATTATATCATTATATTTTACCTCAAAATATTGTATCAATATTCAAGTGCCAATAATCAATATTTTAGTATTGTTTTTTATTCATTTTTGGGAACAAGAGATTTATCTGTTATATTGGCCATAACATGAAAATAATTATTGGGCGATCAGTATCAACCAGAATCGCAATAACAGTATATTATGGTGATTAAAGTTCACTTACATCATCTGACTTGGGCTCCGTCACTGGTACCCACTTGTAGATTCGCAGGGACGTGTCTCCAACAGTCACCCATTTCTTCTCCCTGGAGACGCATGTCATTGTTAGATATCAAAGACCAGACCGAAAACAAATGAGTTTAAAAAGGGATTAATTATTTCAACATTTAAATTTATAGGCCTCTCTGCAGAAGTATTTATTGTGCAATATTTCCACAATATGCAATGCAGCTGGTAACATATCGTCACCCTGGAATTATAAGGTTCTATCTGCCATTTTTGTCAAAATTGACTTTTTCACATATTCTTATTCTGACAACTTATTTACATTGTGATGTTTTTATTTTATTTTATTAAGTTGTGCACATTTTGGGACTGATGTATGAAAGAGACTTGTTCCACATATCACTATATGGAATGCAAAAAAAGCTAAATTTCTCGAAAACTGCTCAGAATACAGACAGAACCTTATAATTCCAAGGTGAGGATATCAACAAGGCATCTATACTTTTTTGCTATAAATATACACATTTTAAAGTGAGGTCAAGTCTTTCTGCAATACTGTACTTTGTGGAGACTGAATGGTTGTGTAGAACAATACTAGTTATCGTAATTACATTTACAATTTTAAAATCATTTTACTAGGTCAAATATTAGGACAGTCAAAAGTTCAATCACGCTTGTGTTACCAAAAGAATCATTATTTACTCTTTGGATAATTTGTATAAGTTTAGTAATATACTGAGGTTATTGTTAATCTCATGACTTTTCTGTTGTAAAATGTATTTTAATTTAAGCTGCACTAAGTTTAAGCAAAATGTTCAGTAGTCCCCGATAAGTGTGAAAGTGGAGGCGAAGCTGAAGCGCCGCGCTGAGTTTAAAACTTCTCACGCGCCGTCGCTCAGAAGCGCGAGGCACTCACTCTCAGCTGAGGTGAACAAGTCAAACGCCCGTTCAGGGGCACCTTTTACTCGGCACGGGTGTATGACTCTAGTTCCCTCATCTCAGCCCGTTCGGTTACTATTCAGCCGGCATTACAGGCTCAAACAGCAAAGCCTTCATGTGACTGCAACGAAATGGCTTCTAGGTTCAACCCACATAAAAAAAATTAATGGAAGAAAAATGCGATCTACATTTTTCCTAACTAATTTTTAAAAAGCCGACAAAAAGAGCAGCCGCGCGAAGAAACGGCACATCTGACTGAAATTGGAGTGGAATAAACGCTCTCTTTACTTTCATTGTTTCTCGTTGTCTCTCCTCCCCCACAGGTTGTCTGTGCTCTTCGTTAACTGTAGACGCTCTCTTACCATTTCCGCACTTTTTCAATTGCAGCCATAACCCGCTTGATGTCATCTTTCGCCCTGCTCCGCGTCTCCGCTCGAACCGACCTGCCCGACATTACTGCTGTTGGTAAAATATATTTTTGCTCGCTGCCTGTTTAGACACAATGCGAATGCACACAGCACAGGAGCGAGGCAGGGTTTGTGCGCCTGCGCTGAAGCCAAATGCCCTGGAAGCAAGCAAGAGAAGCACGGTCAATGCGGCTACGCGTTTCGCTCCTTTGTTTAGCGAACAGAGCAAAGAAAACGATATTTTAACAGATTGTTGAGTGAGACTAACAAATCGAAACGATGACTACGACATCCACACACGTGTCTGGAAAAAAACAGACTGACAATGGACAGTAGGTTGTCAAACAACAACGTTTATTTCCGTGTGATCCGATATCTATCTGCGTTTCAGAAAAGTATTAAACACTCAAATATGAAAATACACCGAAGCAACAGCTTAGTAACCGCAAAAATACTGCTCTACTAGACAGGCTATAAATCAAACATTTATTTGAGTGCATACATTATTAGTTTCAGAAAGGTTCAGATGTTATAGATCGTGCCCATGTTCTTGAGGAAGTTCCTGGGTGGCTGCAGAAACCCCCACGAAATCTGTGGCGAATGTCTCCATGCTGCTTTCTTTGGGTAGCGCTCTCTCTAAAAGAGATTCTGTGTGGGACAGACAGACATGGGACAGATTAAAACATTGGTAGGCTATATTTTAAAATTCACTAGGATTTTTTTGGGGGCCAAACATTCCTTGACATTAAGAAGTTATTCAAATTCTGTGATGGTCATACAGTACAGATGACACATATTATGTCATCTGCAAAGACAAGCTACACTTTTTCATGCACATTTATTGGAACACTCGAAACCCAAAAACACCCAGCTATCAGGTACAGGTTTCAGGTCCAAGTCTCTACTCTTTTTCAAGTGAGACTACTATCTCAACAGCTGTTTATAAGCAGTTAATTTCATGAACCTGTTGTCAGACCTAGCATTCAGGCAGTAAGCCATCAAATCTGTCCATCAGTATGGTGGTTCGCAGGACTTCTGCATACCTGTGAAACTGCCTCCCTCTGCACTAATACCTAAAAGAGCTGTAAATCATTCAGCCAAGTCATGCTCGGTCATATGTTCACCTGAAATGAACATACAAGTAGTTACTATTCTAGCCAAAGTCTTTCTCTGTTAATTATAATCATTCTTTCTCTGGTATCTTATATGCAAGTTAACACATGTAAAGTACTGATAAAACTCATGAAAATGTATTTACCTCTAGCCTGCAGTAACTCCAGCAGTTCATCCCTGTCAATAGTATATCTGCCCCCCTCGTCTGGCTTTCCAAGCACCTGGAAGGCATTGCACAGCTCCTGTCTGGAAATGCCAGAGGCAGGTCTGTGGTTGACATACAGCTTTATGAACTCCTCCAAATCGATGTCCATCACATAATTTCTGGTTTCAGCATAGGGGCTGAACTTCACCTCATTTTGCATGTCTTCATGCTTCAACAAAACAGAACAACCATGTGTTGACAAAAGATTGAGTGGTAGTCCATATATCGATGACAGATCTGTATGGTAGACTCAACTGGTGATTGCAACAATGCTCGTACCTCTTGCTCTGTGGGATAGAAGCCAAGCGCTCTCATTAAGAAGGGCACATCAGCTAGAGGGGTGCGTGTGGACACAAGTCATGTTTCCATGGTGTCAAGGTCCTGATTCTGTAGTTGACAGTAGTAAACAATCCTCCATTTCCTAAAGGACAAATCAAAACATTTGCTCTCTATTGGCATCATGAAACTAATTATTAGAATGAAATTAGGTAGATGCTGAAAAACTGTTTCAAAAAGTAATTTTTGACCTACATATGGGACAATGAGAAAAAAGCATTAGAACAGAGATCTCAAACCAAGAAGAGCTGTCCATCTCTTCCTCCCTCCAGAAGATTTTAGAAGGGCAGCATGTCCTTCCCTTCTAGAGCAGCGGATGCCTCTAATGATCTGCATATATTCGAATGAGTGAAAAGCAGAAGCTAATTCTGTGACCACAGAATTGTGAGGTGGCAAACACAATAAGCTGTACATAGTTACAATTTCAAGCATGTGTCCAAACTATCCTAAAAAAACCTTTTTAAATTCATTATTATACAACTATTATACTACACACGTATTTTATGACCTCATATTAAATGAGCAACTATTTGATATATTATGACTTAGTTGACTAGTCAACTGCAAAAACCAGTGGACTTCTGCATGGGATGCATGTTCTCCAAACTTACGACAAACTGAGCTCCCATGAAAAGACAGTGCAGTCCTGTCCTCCAGCAGTAAAAGCATATCTACCATCATATGAGCAAGCCAGAGTTGACAGGCCTGTTGAGTGGCAGATCATTGCAAAGGACTTGTGAGGGTTTCCATCCAGAGGCAGAATCTGAATGCCAAGTAAAGGCAATAAAACTGGCATGATAGCTCATGCTGATACAATGTGATCGGTACAGAAGAGTAAGTAATATCAAATGCATGGTTTGTTTATGAGGACTGAAACACTTTATGCCTTACCTTGTGTTATATATGCCATGTAACGAGAATTAGGGTCACCATCCTTAGATACAGGTAGAATGGCCATCTTTTTCACTGGAGAACCATAAGAGGGCCCGAAGACTGTTTTTCTGTGCAAAGCACACCATCATGAACAGATATACAAAATCAGAAAAAAAATATTTTTTTTAAAAATGACTTCATTTTGAATTTAAGAGATTCGAAAAAGGAAATTCTTTGATCTGCAGAGCAACTATGAAAACTGGTTAACAATATAGTAGACTGAAAAAATTATTTCATTAAATTCAGTACTGTTCATATCAGCATAAAATAATATAACTAAAATATAAATAACATTCCCTTACTTTCTCACTCAGTATGCCAGTAGGTGGCAACCAGTGATCATCTTTATGAGTGAGTCATTGAATCATTCACTCTAATCGATTTGTTCAAACATACTGTTCATTCAGGAACAAAATTGTATCTTTCACTCAACCTATTCCTTGAAAACGCTCATTCATTTAGGAACAAAACACTGCTGTGGCTTTGTTTGTAAATATTTCCATAGGCACAGTAAAAACAGACAGTAACTGGCAATATTCTGCTACAATTTTTATTTTAATCCCACCTAGAGCATAAACTGATTTACAGATCTGTTATCCTAACCCAATTCAATAAATAATAATACTATCCAATAGTTAAGGTTTAGGTTTAGTTAATGTTAAAGGGGTCATATGATGCTTTTTTAAAGATCATAATTTTGTGTATTTGGTGTAACAGAATATGTTGACATGCTTTAATGTTCAAAAAACACATTCTTTTTCAAATACTGTACATTATTGTAGGTCCTCTATGCCCCGCCTCTCTCAAACGCCTCGTTTTCTACAAAGTCCCTCCTTCCGACAAGCGCAGTCTGCTCTGATTGGCCAGCTGACCCAGTGCATTGTGATTGGCCAAACACCGCAAGCACTCGTCGGAAATGTAACGCCCCTTACCATAATCACGAGCTTCATCTTTCAAAATAAATGTAAAGACAGAGTCCGAAAGGGGAACAGAGTCGCGTGACAGACAGTGATGAAGTTGGTATGTGTGCAGTACACAAGCCACGGTTAAGACAGCGGACTCTACTGTGATGTGACCCTGTCTCTCTCTCTCTCTCTCACACACACACACGATGCGCAAAACTCTGCATTTGAACAGTCAATAGCAAATACTTAAACTAATAACAAAACAGTAGCTGATTCAGAGGCGCCAGATTGTCATAGCAAAGTCAGAATTACCTTCTCTCCTGGGTTCACGAAACGTCGTCCATAGAATGCATTGCTGTTCTGTTGCAGTATATAAATAAATATAGATTGTGTATATACATTAAGCTTTATGACATATAGTGCAAGTTATGAGGTAGGAGGGCAGAGACCAGCTCAATGCAAATGACTTTACATACAACATAGGGTTACAGAAGGTGTATTATACAGGGAGTATAAACAGAAGGTGCATTATACAGTGAGGTACATAAATAGCTGACATATAGTGCAAGTTATGAGGTAGGAGGGCAGAGACCAGCTCAATGCAAATGACTGTACATACAACATAGGGTGCAAGGAGAGTATAAACAGAAGGTGCATTATACAGTGAGGTACGTAAATAACAGTGAGGTACATAAATAGCATATGTTTATATATGGCCAATGACCATAACAGTGCAAACGGCATACGGAGGTAGAAATGTGCAAAGGAATGTGTAAAACATCAGAGAAATGTGCAAAATAACAGAGGGAATAATAAGAACATTGTGAGTGAGGAGTGCAGACAGGTTTTTTTTTTTTTAATTAAAATTTTATTTTTTTAAGTTAAGCATTAGGTGGTCTATCTAGGATGTAGTGTTCAGCGCCTGAGATTGGAGTTAGGCTGACAGCTGAGGGAAATAAACTGTTCCTGAGTCTGCTTGTGCGACAGCGAAGACTCATAAAGTGCCCCTGATAGGAGAGGAGTGAACAGTCTGTGATTGGGGTGAGAGGAGTCTTTGATGATGCTTCTCACTCTCCTTAGGCAGCGTTTGTGGTAAACGTCTTTGATGGAGGGTAGCCCAACACCAGTGGTGTATTGGGCAGTTTTCACCACCCGCTGGAGGGCTTTCTGGTCCGAAACAGTGCAGTTGCCATACCACACTGTGATGCAGTTTGTGAGAATGCTTTCAATAGTGCAACGGTAAAAGTTCAGCAGGATGTTGGGGGACAGGTGAGCTTCCCTTAGTTTCCTAAGGAAGTAAAGGTGCTGTTGTGCCTTTTTGATCAGTGTGGAGGTATTGAGGGACCAAGAAAGATCCTCAGAGAGATGGACACCAAGGAACTTGAAGCTCGCCACGCGCTCCACTTCAGCCCCATCAATGTAGATGGGAGCGTGGTCCTTCTTAGTCCGCCGGTGATCAACAATCAGCTCTTTGGTCTTCTGGGTGTTGAGTGCAAGGTTATTGTTGGCACACCACGTTGCTAGATGCTGAACCTCGTCCCTATAGGCCGTCTCATCATTGCCACTGATCAGGCCTACCACCGTGGTGTCATCTGCAAACTTGATTATGGAGTTAGAGCCATGCACAGGTATGCAGTCGTGGGTGAAAAGG